GTTAGGGATTAAAACATGTGAAAAGATAACTAAGGGACGGGAGTGGAGGTATAATAATAAAAAATAGAAATACACGTATTTAAACAAATTTAACAAATTAAAATTTATTACATGAATTTATCAAGAAAAAAACGTATATACATTTATATATATATACACGTATATATACACGTATATATATATTTTTTTTTTTTTCAAAATAAATAACATTTTTTGCCTTTTTAAATAAATATTTATAATATTTCTTTAACCAGAATACACATATTTAATACCATAGCAATTAACTTTTTAAATAGATCTAATTTAGCAAAGCCCCCCGATGGGGGGGGCAAAGCCTACCTCCAATAGGCAGCATGGGCGCAGGCGGGGAAGGGGGTGCAGGAAGAAGGGGCGGAGCCCGTCCCTTCGCCTATTCATAGCTAATATCTACTATAGAAATAGAAAATAAATCTTTTAACGATGTGCTAAGTTAAAACAACGTGCTGCTGATGAATCATGATACGGCTTATCTTGCGTACGGGTCTGTCTAATCTTTTCAATATGTATCATTTTTAGTATATTAGACTCATCCATTTAATAAGGTAAAGATTTAATAAATATTCAATTTAATATACTTTCTACCTTGCGTAGGAGTCTGTCTAATCTTTTCGGTATCTATTATTTTTAGTATATTGTAGATTCATCCATTTAGTAAGGCGAAGATTTAATAGATATTCAATTTAATATACTTCTTACTTTGCGTAGGGGTCTGTCTATTCTTTTCAGTATCTATTATTTTTAATATTGTTACGCCCGCGTCTAAGTCCGCATCCCGTATGTATGAACGAGCCGACGAGAGGAGATTGTTTCCTGGACGACGGACTGTCGACTGTCAAACGGACATCATTGGATTGGAAAGCTGAGCTGTCAGTGTGAACGGACGTGCTCTGACCCGCTCCGTGTTTCTTTGTATTACGTGCGTTCTTGTGTGTTGCATTCATTAAAGAGTTTATTTACTTTCTTAAACAAGTCCTTTTATTTTCCGTGGAAGCGTCGGAACGGAACGCGAACGCGAACGCGAGTGCGCGAGAACGACTCCCGGGCGTAACAATATATTGTAGAATCACCCATTTAGTAAGACGAAGGTTTGATAAATATATAATATATAAATAATGTGTTTAAAAATGGGCTCTGTTCGAGCCATCTTCAGTGTAACACCACTCAAGTACTTCATCGTGCATTCACCGTCATTCGAAACTTTGGATGTCCATCACTGTGGATGCCAGTTCTCATGATTAAAAGCTCCAAAAGTCGGTTATCGTATAACTTCGTATAATGTATGA